AGAATAGAATGCGTTTCAACGCGTTGTAAATTGAAAAGGATGCGTTCCAACGCGTTATAATAAAACAGAATGCGTTTAAACGCAAATATAATGTTTTTTTCCCAAAAGTTGGCGTTGAAACGCAAACTTTTATAAAAAAATTTTTCGTGGGTAGTTTGTACGTCATCAACTCGTTCTGACATGTTAAAAAATTCACCCGAGGAGCGACTATCCGAATCGGAACCGGTTTATCTTGACAGGATGCTCTCGGAAGTTGTTGGGAACCCTTTTCCAGGCAGTAGATCCGACCAGATCCTAGCAAATTTCGATGGATCCCGGTCGGAATTCGTCGGATTCCGACAAAATCCGCTCCGGATTCCTGGAACAGGATTTGATAGTACTGTCGTCTCATTGAAGTATATAAAAGCAATGAAAATAGGAGAAATTGATCCATGTTGGGTATGAAAGAAATGACAAAACACCAACAAACCGGCCGTTTTCATTCCAACGCTGCCCTACACTCCTTTATGATGACGATTCACTCACTTCTTTGCTTTTGTTTTCGTTTTGTATAATTTTATAAATAGTAGATAACCTTATGATTCTTTAGGGTTTGGTAATATTCTCTTATTTTGTACAGAGAAGTTTGCTCCACAAGATGTACTAAATATTTTTCTGGTTCTGGAAGTTTCACTACGCGTAACGTCGAATACATAAGAAAATTTTTTTGATTTCATATAACTCTATACGTTGTCTACTACGGAAACGTTTTCCTTTAAAAGCATTCGGTAGGAGCTGCAAAAAAGCTGCAATTTTTTCGACGATCCGCGATAAAAAAAGTCAGAATGTTAGTAAAATACGCATATGATCGAGAGGCGACGAACCGCTGTTGTCGAATTAGGTAGAACATATGCCGGACGTTTGTTTAGTACCTGACGCTGATGACTATCTAGATTGGTGGCGTAATGTTTAATTTGGGGCGGGAAACTGATAGTAGTGTAGTGGTAATAGATTTTTGCTTTTGCATAAGGCTCTTTAACGTTTACGGTGGAGGTTGTTTTTCTGCACTTTTCTCTAAAAAGTAAAAAGTCCTTTTTGAAAGGTTGAAAAGGATAATGTCGATGTGCACGAGAAAAAGGGGATAGCAGTTTTTGGCGACGTTATGAATTTCTCTCTCAATTGCTGCTATCTCGAGGTTTCTAGTTAAAATCATGCACTCGGTTAAAGTCAACTTTGTTTGCCGTAAGGTGTTAATCAGCACCATGATGTCTCACGTTTTAGTTTACAGAAGTAACAAATGAAATATCCATTCTCTAATATGCATGATGTGCATCTGCCTGTTTTCTTCCTCTAGAGCCGTATCAAACAATGGATATCTTGCTTCAACTCTCTTTGCAAAGTCTATACACATTCGACACCGGTATGACCGCGTCTCAATCTGTTGTTATCCAAATTAAAAGAAAATTTACTGCAAGACTTCAGTCTACTCAAAAATGTAAAAAAAATGCAAGACCTGTACCGTGGAGTCTTCAAAAGCACTCGATTAAAGTCAACAAGCATGTTATTTTTGAACGGGAAAAGAAACATGTTGACTTAAATCGAATCCTTTGCAGGCATTGTAGAAGTCTTGTACTTTTTATGATGCACCTACATTTCCGCAAACGACATGAAACCTGAGAGAAGTTATGTGGGGCATAGTCATTATATGATCCGTTTACAGATATACAGTTTCGCATCATGAAAAAATGTTTTGTATAAAACTACTTTTCGAACTCACTCCCACACTGCCCACCTCCTATGACACACTGCCAAAAATACCCAAATGTGTACTGTGAAAAATTCGATCTTTGTTCTTCCCACTTTCCACAGTTTATATTATGTTTTGCTTTGCGTACGATAAAGATTGCCGTAATCCAGCGGGATCATAAATTTACATTACATGATACTTATATCATGTTCTCGAAGAAATGTCCGAGTAAAAACATGATGTAATCGACTATCGAACAAAATGGATACAAAAGTATCTTAATTCATACTTCTAAAACTTTTTCAGAGACTTAACGATAAAAACATTTTTCGATTCGAGCTACGAGCGGAAGATTGAACGGGAATCGATCGATACAGACATTCTATTCTGGCCTTTCTGTTTTTCTCTTTCTTCTCGTTTGAAGTAAGCGTGTACTCTACATACTCAAAATGTATATTCTTCTTCAGAATGCGAATAAGAAAGAAAATGGAAAAGAAAGCTTAAATATTTCTCGTGAAAAAGGTACTCTGTTTTGTTACGCATGAACAAACTCACACGTACTGTATGTGCTCTGGTAGGTTTATTAGAGTTGAAACAAATCTTTTTGAATCAACACAGTGACTCTGTGAATGTCTCTGAATTACTGATATCTGCGCACGCCACACGCCGTCTATTAAACGTAGGACATGTTCAATTAAATTAATTTTTAATTCGACAGTGTGATTATTATTGAATTATTGTTCTACGCCATATTAGCCATCCGATATTATTTTAGCAATGAAGAACAGACAGTCAGAAAAGCGTACATCAAGCAGTGAATTAACACCACTAGGTGGGAAAGTATATTATATTAGTTGTTTTTTTGAACCACTTTTCGCTCAGCTACTGGTTCTACCCAGTCGAACTCAATCCATGTTTTTACGTTATTGGGATCGTAAAACAATCCTAGAACACCGTTTGCACGATCTCTTTACAGAGTCAGTTATCTCATTTTATGTGTTTCTCTGGATTCAATGTCTAGGACAACATCAACCTTTTTGCACTGCGGAGGAAGGTCTATAAAACATCGATTAATCATCTGTCTGATGAAGACCCAAAACGGAAGAAATTTACCTTGATTATGATAAAAATTACCTTTAATTCTCATGTTTAATAATATTTAAAACAAAAATAGAATAACGATGAGGTCTCTGTATGTAGTTTTAGTTTAGTTAGACCCGCTACCATTTCTGGTGTAGGGTGAGAATAAAAACATCAGAAAAAAAACACAAAAAAGGAAAGAGTGTTCAATTTGATGAAAGTGGAGTAGAGTTCGTTTCTATTGAAAATTGAACTAAGTTAATTATCAAGATACCACCCTCTGTAATCAGTTTAAGTGATACTCATCATTCTCACAAAGTCAAAATCCAATAGGTGCTTACAATCATATTATTTTGTTCATTTAATATTGTTCTTTTTACACCAATCCTAAGCACACGCTTTGGCATGCATTGTAATTCCTTGAGGTATAAAGATTTTTTCACAAACAGGACATTGATATTTACCATTGCTGTTCTTAACTAACAATCCTGTTACCTTTGTCTTCTCTACTCCCTGTGCTGCCGCTAACTCATTTCCTCTGTGTTGTACTGCACGGTGTTTATACTCAAAAATGATGTCTTTGATGTTAGGGTGAATTGGTCTGCTCTGGGTATTTCTATTAATAAGATCCCGCCATTGATCTCTTTCATGAGTCTATCTTCTCCAGTTAGTAATTCTGAGAAATTTGATGTCATCTTTAACTTTGTCTTCCCACCTCTTTCTTATGCCAGCGTTTCGAGAGCGTTTCTCTTGTGGGAAGTATGAAAATGTAATTTTCTGCACAACTGATGATTCGTTATTTCTGTTCATCGTTCTGTTGGCATGTCCAAACCACTGAAGTCTGTTTTTTCATAAGATGCTGTCAATTGGTGGCTGTCCCGTGACTTCTAAGATCTTTTCATTTGGCATTCTATCGCCTAAATTCACACCGATGACTGTATGCAGGCATTTCATATAAAAGGTGTTTATTCTACATTCATGTGCACTTGTGATAGACCACGTTTCACTTCCATACAATAAGACACGGAGAACACAGGCACGAAACACTTTTAGTCTCGACTTGATAAATACTTTTCCTGCTCCAAAGCACATGTCTTAACATATTGAATGCCGTTGCAGCTTTACTCAGTCTTGTACTGATTTCACTATCTGGTCTTTGGTCTCTTGTTACGCCACATCCTAGGTAGATGAAAGAGTTAACAGTTTCGATCTGCTGATTCCGAATTGTGATGTCAAATCCAGGGAAGACTACTTCTCTACCTTTTCTCTATATGTCAATACATGTACTATGAGAAACTGCTATGTAATTTGATTGCATCGCATGTATGTCACATATGTGTTGATTCATAGCTCAAAAGAAAAAGTAAGATAGTTAAGATTGTGTTGAGGTCAAATTTAATCCCACATGCCAGAGTTTAATGCTTTTCTAAACCAGTACCGAAAAGCAAATCATGTATTTCTTAGCGTGTCCGGAGTTTGAATGACTAAATATTTCAAGTATTTTAGTGGATAAGCAAGCAAATGATAAAGAGAGACACGATAAGAATCATACAGCAATCGATATTCCTTCCCAGAAAAGTTCGAAATCATTAGACGTTGACGACTTATATAACAAAGAAAAACATGATTTAGAAAAATTAGATTTAGAGCAGATATATGAATTATTCGAGTAAGTGATAATTATCATAGAATAGGAAACACATTGGTTAGTACATCATTTCAGTGCTACACCAGATGGTCTTAACGACACACAAGTAGCTGAACGTGTTCAAAAAGTATTATATACATGTCTCAAAAGAAACGATAGTAAGAAATTTTGCGTCATTTAGTTTGGACCAAACAAACTTGAAGAAAAGGAACGTAATCCAATTCTACAATTTTTATTATTCATGTGGAATCCATTATCATGGTAAGATTCCTTCATGTACATGTCAATATCTCTTTATTTATTCCCTGTTGCTCGCTATAGGGTTATGGAAGTGGCTGCGTTTGTGGCAATTGCTCTTAGTAACGGCGGTGGGCAACCACCAGATTGGGAAGATTTTCTTGGTATAGTTTGTTTATTAGTTATAAATTCCATTATTGGTTTTGTGGAACAACAGCGTGCTGGAAATGCTGTTAAAGTTCTAATGCAGTCATTAGCCCCTGAATCTCGTGTAAAACGGAATGGTCAATGGGAGACAATTGATGCATCCGAGCTTGTGCCCGGTGATGTAATCGGTGTTAAATTAGGCAATGTTATTCCTGCTGATGCGCGAATTACATCAGCCCAGGGAGAAATTTCAGTTGATCAAGCAGCTTTGACGGGCGAAGCATTGCCAGTTAAAAAACAAATCGGTGATGAAATATTTTCAAGCACAACATGTAAACAAGGTGAAGCAGAAGCCATAGGTAAGTTTGGCATTTTATCTGATTTATTGTATCTGGCTTGTAAATAATATGCGCCTGCTATTAATTCGTGAATTTTGTTTGGGACAAGATATCGCCTGTCAGCTTTTTGCCATTTTTTGTTACTAAAAATACTTTTAGTTGGCAGTTTGTGACTTTGAGGTATTTTTCTAACTACTTGAAAAGATCGCGATATCGCGTTGTTTAGCGCAAAAAGTTCTCTCTGTTTTGTTTTAGTTATTGCAACTGGTGTTCATACAAATTTTGGTCGTGCTACTCAACTTGTCGCTGGAGCTCAAGATGAGATGGGTAGTCATTTGCAAAGGAAACTTGCCAAAATTGGCAATTTTTGTATTTGCACTATATTAATATTTATCGTGGCTGAAATTATTGTTCAATATGCTATCTATCATTACCCGTATCGACGTGGGATTGAAAATATCCTTGTGCTACTTATTGGAGGAATTCCAAGTAAGTTGATTTCTATTTATTCAATATGTGTACATATTCGGATTATTCTTTCTTTTGTAGTCGCAATGTAAGCTCGACGTGATTATTCATAGCATGAAAGTAAAACGTAGAAACCAGGTCTATCTCCGGTCCACTTCATTCTCATACTCACGAACTACTTCTTATAAAGAGATGCCTCTCTCGAAGCGGGAAGAACTATGAAATTCCTCGTCTTTAATCGTAATTTCCCAAGCAAAAATTCTCTATGGAGTGGATCTAGCTCCAACACAGACGTAACCGGGCAGTTATTCACTTGATGGATCTAGCTAAATGTACCTTTTTACCTAGTTACCTAGCTCCAACCTAGTAGTGAACCGAGCAGTAGGTTATCATAATCGAGTAGGAACGGAAGGTTGACATCTCGGTTAACCGCCCAGTTAACCGACCGGTTAAGCTAGATCCAAAGACGAAAGATATTTGGTACGAGGGAGGTTATCAACTAGGTTAACCGGGCGGTTGGAGTGCCCGGTTGACCGAGTGGTTGAAGCGCCCGGTTAAACGGTTGGAATGTCCGGTTAATCGGGCACTCTAAGCTAGCTTCAAAAACAAGAAAAAAAGAATATGTGCCTCAGGAAAATCGAACTCGCTGACTAGCGCACTCGAAATTGAGATTGGAAGTACACGCGACGTTTTAACCAACTAAGCTACCAGGCACACATGTAGTAGTTGATGAGTGATGAAATCATTCAGAATATATTTTAGAGATTTGTGTTTTCTCTTTGAGAAAAGCATTTTTGAGAGTTAAATCTGCAACATAAAATTTAGCAAATTTGATCTTCTAAATTCTGAGTGCTGGGACCAGATTTTCAGAAATCGTTCTTCTGGTTAAAAAACAGTAAATATTGTTTTTCATCCGGAAGATCGATCTGTACACAGTTAAAGCCAGCAGATAAAATTTAAGAAATTAAATTTGCCATATTTTTGTCTCTAAACTCACCTTTGGAAAATTCTTCCTTCATGGTGAAAAATCAGAAATACCATCTTTTAGCCTCATTTCCAGGTTTTCGCCATGAAGGAAGAGTTTCCCAAAGATGAGTTTAGAGACAAAAATATAGCAAATTTAATTTCCTAAATTTTATCTGCTGGGTTTAACTGTGTAACGATCTTTGGATGAAAAACAATATTTACTGTTTTCTATAGCGATTTCTGAAAATCTGATTCCAGCACACAGAATTTAGAAAATTAAATGTTGCAGATTTAACTCTCAAAAATGAGAAAATACGAGAAAAAGCAGAAAAGTATGACCCTCTGAGAGGCTCGAATCTACAAAAGGGTTGTACTTTTCTGCTTTCTTTCTATTCGTAGTAAAACTGATTTATAAGTTTATTCAAGCGTCTTTGCAGTTTTTAAGTTACGGTTTTAAAACTCTGCTCAATGCTCGATTCCTAAACTAAATGAATTTTCTTTTCAGAAACAGCCGTTTTGTCTCATAATGAAGATCAGACTTCGTCAGTGTAAAGAGAAATAGAATCACAATGTAGTAACGTTTCCTAGTACGTAATATTGAAAACAGTCGGATTTCTTTTCTGTAGAGAATGAATAGTGCAAAAAGGCTTTTTAGACTTGATTATATATAATTAACACCAACAGCTTTGATCCGAGTTTTCCTGGTAAGCTTATTCTTTATGCTTTTGACAGTTTCACACGAAGCAGTCCAATACTAAAGTATTCATGTTTTAAAAGAAAATTCTTCCGGAGGTTCATCCATAAAAGCGTCGGTTCATCGTAACGAAGTATTTTTACAAAATTCCCGTAATTATTAGACTATTACAAAAGTCAGCTGAAGTATCTCAAAATAGTTTGTTTACACCAGCAGAATAAGCAATAATCTTCTTTATATCCTTCCCACTCACGAAGGCATTGAGCAGTCTGGAACTAGTTTGACCGGTTGGTTAACTGTAGAGATGAGATGCATAACTAACGTTATAGTTTTTGATTCTCTTCTATAATATAAAATAGAAATTATTTTCTTTTCTGATAAGCTATCCGCACATAGTAGTGTTTAAATCAGAGCTCCGTATTGAGTCCAGTCTAGTCCATACGGAGCTCTGGTTTATATATAGTACTGTTTCATTTGAACGAAAGGAGAATGAATGACGAAACTTTCACTTTCATTCATGTCATATATCTATTTTTTTTTCTGTCTCTCTATGCGTTAATCGTTTTCGTGAAAGTGTGAAAGGAACATGTAAAAAAGATGCCACAAACTCAAGTAGCCTGTTA